AGGAAACTGAGGCATATAGCTGTTATTAACTTGTCCAAGGTCACATAGGCCAAATGGCTTAGAACTTGCTTATCAGATTCCATAGTCTTTGCTCTTAGCTTTGATCCACGATGCTGCATCTCTTGACTTTACTGTCTCTGTCCTCTAATCTAGTACTTGCTCTGTGAGCACCTGGTGCTTTTATTTGGTGAGTGCAGCCTGCCTCTCAGCCAGGAATCATAAACACTTCACAAGCGGTCCTGATCCAGGGGTGAGTGGAAGTCAGGGACTGTGCTTGAAGCAGGCTCTTCGCTTCAGCTGTCTTTTGACTGGCAAGGTGGGAGGAGAAGAGAGAAGAGGGAGGAAAATCGGACAGCTCTTCAGAACCCTGTTAGTTAGGACTCCACGGCAGAGTGTCATTCCTTTGTTTGAAGTAATTTCTTTAGATATTAGAAACGCTGACATTTGAAATGAAATTCAAGAGTGTACTTCAAAACACAGACAAATGGTGTTTGGAGGATTTGCTGTTTTGTCTTATTTATGCCTCTGCTCTTCTCTGTTACTGTGGATCATTTAGAATATACTGGGCATGAAACCCAAATGTCTCAAAACACCGAGTTTCTCTCTCTCTCTCTGTCTCTCTGTCTCTCTCTCTCTCTCTCTCTCTCTCTCTCTCACACACACACACACACACATTTTTGTGTGCTCAACATCAATAATAAGCTATTGTTTGTTATATTTCAGGCACTGTGCTAGATACTTATTTTAAATACAGTGCCAGTGGGAGGCAAAAGTGCAGTAATCAAGTTAATTTTACTGTTGAGAAAACAAGTGTCAAAGCCAGGATTCAAATCCTTGCCTACGGCTTCAAACCTTGGGGTTCCTGCCTTCTTTTTTTGATATGTGAGAGGTTGAAAGCACTTTGAATTACAAGGAGCAAGAGAATGACTGGTGAGACTTAGTTTAGAAAAGCTTGCTGCTTGAGATTTCAAGATGGGAGTTTCACTGTAAACAGAATTATTTGCTTGTGGTGATAACTTTTAGTTTTAAGGCCATTTTAACTGTACTTAGGGTAGTTAGAATAAAACTTAAAATAAAAGCATAAAAATCAAAATAAAAGGATGAAAACTAAAATAAATTCTATGGTAGTCACATGGAATGACTGAGTGGCTTACATAAAATATGAGTGAGCACTTAAAAATGTATGTGCAGCAATTGGAAGTACCTGACATGCTTTTATTACAAATGTTTTTTATTGGCATTTACTTTAATAAAAACAGTACTTGAACCTCTTGGCAGCGGAAGGCAGCCTCGCTTTTCCTTTACAAGCATTTCTCCTACGTATGTAAGTACACTGAACGTTGATGTTCAACAAATCTTTGACAAGGGGTTTGTACAGTGAGGATTCTTCCTGAAAACAAGATGCAGTTCCATTTGCTCAGTGATGAGGTCTGCAGAGCTTATGACCTAAGTGCTTTCTGTGCAATGCTAATGGAATTACAGAGCAGGGAGGAGGCCCTGACCTTGGTTTCTATTATTGGGATGAATGGTACTCATTAATTCTCTGAGAATTGATGACTAAGGTAACTGCCGGAGCTCAGTCCATTTAGACGGCATGCCTTGCAGACATCACCTGTCAGGCAGCAACATAAATCAAGTCTTTGGATTAGTCTTCTTGACACAGTGTGCTTAGGATACACAGATATTTGGGAAAAGTTGCAATATGTCATTTGGCTTTGGACATACTGACATTTGGCAAGGAGATAATGTGTCACTAGTTAGAAATTTCCTTTTAATTGAAAATCACATAAATTAAGGAAAAGGAAACCTGTCTTTTCTATTTCTTTATTCCTTTTTGGATGAAATTACTATGGTACATTTATTTCTCAATAGATTTTACATTTTACTATAGATGAATGGATCCTTTTGGCACACTTGGGTTAGCAGGAATGTTCAGAGATAGTCAGTTGGACAGGGTGCTCTGATTAGCCAGAGTGAGGTCTAAAGGCCTGGAATCCTGGCGTCTCTAGTCACATCACTACAGGAAGCAATGATCCTCCCTTTTTGCTGTTGGGTTCTCTCCTGGGACCTTTGTATGGTCTACCCAGGCTCCCTCATTCCTTGGTCAAAGTGGACTGAGTCAGCCAATGAACTCTTATTGAGTTCTAACCCTTGGGTCAGTCCCCATAAAGAAGACAGGATGGTTACCTGGAGATCTTTTCTTGCTTTGGCAATGGATTCTTCCTGAAATTTTTGGTGATAGATTCTTCCTGAAATCCTAAGGGAAGGAATTATTAGATACCCCCTCCTCTATTTTCACGTAATTTATGTGTATTTCATTTCGGAGAAAGAAAAGCCTATAACTCATGTTTACATTTAATTATCTCCTTGTTAATAGACCCCAAACAAAGTGGAATTATATATGGGGGAAAGCATCAGAAAGGGAAAGTGGATTTTGCATCAATCACGGCAAACTCACAAGAGCAAAGTTTCTGAAATGACTGTGACAAAAATAAATACTTCAAAGGCAATTGATAGCATAAACTCTCATTAGCTCACATTTCTATGAATTTGTGAAGGTTAA